GTGTTATTTTTTATACTCGTAACGAGCACTGAAACCTTTTACTAATCTGTAGTATTAATTGGCCTCTCTGGCTAAAAAAAAATTTAAGATTCAATTTTAAATTGCCCCGTTTCTTTCTTCATCAATATTCGCATAAATTTTGTTTAAATTTGGAATCGGGATAAGGAAAAAATAAGGAACGGCCAACTAGAGGTGTTTAATATTTCATAAATGATAATTTTATCCCGAAGTTTTCGTTTAATGAGAAGGCACCTCTGCTGAATGATAAATCTCGTCACGTTCTATGTGAAACGTTTTATTTTCCTGTGCAAATTAATTTCGGAAGCAAATGGGGAAAATTCGAAGGAAGAGGAATTTTTTATGTTCACTTCGGGGTACATCAAAGTATTCACATTTCTTCATATTCATTTTGTGATATTCCATTCCTCGTTAATCTGTTTATTATACACCTCTTTCTTGTAAAAAAACAGAATGAAATGCAAGGTATGTATATGAAGGTAGACGGAGAGCTGATTAAAGTAGAAAATGTGATTTATAAAATTGTAATATTTGCTCTGATCTATTTTGTAATATTTAATTTTTCACTTAGAATGCAATTTTATTAATTTATTGTACACAAAAAAATGTCGTAACATTCTTATTCGTTCAGAAGTCAATTAGAGATATTTTATTTGTTGAAAACTTTGTTCCATTTCAATAATTCACTTCAATAAAATATTCTTTGACTGTAATTTTTAATTTTAATTTAACGAAAACAAAAATGAGTGAAATTTCACTCACACCGCACTCAATAGTGTATCAGTTTCTGTTCATACCAGATTTAGCGAAATATTCACTCTGTTAATATGAGTGCAATAATAATTTTATGAGTGAAACTATTAGGTAAGGCAGAATTGACGAATTTTACTCAACTTTGAGTTTCTGTTACTCCTCAGTAATAAAATAAAAATCTGATAACATCTGAGTTTTTTTTATTATTTTGACGTATACAATCCATTCCTGGAGTTCAATGCGTTTCCAGAGCAAATGTTTGTATAAGAAAATATTCCCAGATTTGGACAAGGAACAGGTTTGTTTCTTCATTTTTGACACGGTGATGTGTTACGGGTTATACAGGGTGACCAAATGATAACGAAACAGAACCATTTTGAAGAACTGCGTCAAGATTGTAGAAAAACGCTCAGACCCGTCGATTTTATATTAAAGGGGGACATTCTTTGCTGGTATTTTTGACTCCGCCACTTTCACTCCCAAGCAAGGGTAAGCATCCCCCCAAAATATTTAAATAACATTGGGGGTTGAGTAATATTTCTTTTGAAAGCTCTTACAATTCTCTTTACAACAGACTTTAAATTTTATAATTCCGCCCAATACTTAATTATGTTTAGTTGCTTTGTTTTGTATGCTAGTTCGATTGATCCCAGACACAGATGCCAGCTACCTCGTACTAAATATAGGATGAAGATTAACTTGTCCCAAAACTGCAACTTCACTAGCTTCATTAACTAGGTTTTTCAATTTCTCGTTTTTTATTGGCTACGTTCCCCGTCTCATGAAATTTTTTTACTAACTCTAGAACATACTTCCTCCTGACATGTCGATCTTGATGTTGTTCATTAAATAGCTGAGCTGTTCAATTCGCACATTTATTGTTCATAAAGTAAAGCGAAATGATATCTACCCTTTCCACAATGGAATAAACCATAGTTTTAATTTTCAAAAACATAATTAAATAAACTACCAACCAACGCTTCCAAATAATACAAGAAAATAATTTGGAATCCACTAATTTTACGTTCATTGTCTGTGTATAGCATTCATTTCTGTTTTTTATAATTGTGTTTTTTTTACGACAGTGATAACAAATCGCAAAAAACCAATGTAACGCATGAAATACTAAATTTATACCATTGGCGTACTTANTTTCGCAAAATTGCAAACGGCGGTCATAATCATCCTCGTGAAGTTCCTGGACTAAATGTATTTTGTATGGATGGAATTTATTCTTCTTCAAAATGGTTTGTATGCTAGTTCGATTGATCCCAGACACAGATGCCAGCTACCTCGTACTTAATGTAGGATCAAGATGAACTTGTCCCAAAATTGCAACTTCACTAGCTTCATTAACTATAGGTTTTTCAATTTCTCGTTTTTTATTGGCTACGTTCCCTGTCTCTTGAGATTTTTTTACAATCTAGAACATACTTCCTCCTGACATGTCGATCTTGATGTTGTTCATTAAATAGCTGAGCTGTTCTATTCGCATATTTATTGTTCGTAAAGTAAAGCGAAATGATATCTACCCTTTCCGCAATGGAATAAACCATAGTTTTAATTTTCAAAAACATAATTAAATAAACTACCAACCAACGCTTCCAAATAATACCAGAAAATAATTTGGAATCCACTAATTTTACATTCTTGTGTGTGTATAGCATTCATTTCTGTTTTTTATAATTGTGTTTTTTTACAAAAGTGATAACAAATCGCAAAAAAACAATGTAACGCATGAAATACTAAATTTATACCATTGACGTACTTAACTCGAAAGACTGACATTTTTACAGTTACTAATTGTTTGTACATAAGTTTCAACTCTAAAATCAAAATTCTTAATAAGTATTGGGCGGAATTATAAAATTTAAAGTCTGTTGTAAAGAGAATTGTAAGAGCTTTCAAAAGAAATATTACTCACCCCAACGACATTTAAATATATTGGGGTGATGCTTACCCTTGCTTGGGGGTGAAAGTGGCGGAGTCAAAAATACCATCAAAGAATGATAATTGAAAGAAGATTGATTTCTAGTCCTATTCATATTCTTAATCAAGAGTAAATATAAAATCGACGGGTCTGAGCGTGTTGCTACAATCTTGACGCAGTTTCTGAAAATTGCTGTGTCTCGTTGTCATTTGGCCACCCTGTATATTACCTATCTAACATAAACCAAACGAATCTGTCCAAATTTTTAATGTGTATAGTTACCAAATACGTCAAATGTACCTTATTCTAATATTTCAGGTTGTACTAAAATATTAAGGACCTGCAAATTGTAAGCACCGATAATTATTCCTTCTCCTTCATCGAAGTGCGGTGTTAAACCGGTTAATTGTTCTTTCCTTTGCACCCCTATGTGAAAAATGTATTTTTGTCCCTATGGAATCTTTGAAAAAGTTAGTAGATCTTAATTTGAATTAAAAGTCAGTTTTAAAGTAATCATAAAAATATTTGTTTCTGGGAATCTTCAAAAAAAAACTTGCAAGTTAATATTTAATAGTTTTATTGAAAATCCTGTTAAGGTATATGTGTTATTAAAAAGATGGCAACATTGTAACACAGTAACCTTGGTTGAAAAAAGTAATTTCTTTGTGGCTTTTATTCACTTATGTCACTTTGGATCATTTATACACCCTTAAATTAATTATCTTGGAAACATCGCTAGTACTTACCTTGATCGATACCTTTATTGCCACGACTACATAAAAACGTCAATTTATACTCAGTTCATCAATATACAGAGCCGGTAAAAATATCGCGATAAACAAACAATACATTTTATGGATATGAATTTTTCTTCGTATTTATTTAGTTATTCTGTCCCAAAAGTCTTCAAAATTTCCACGCCAAAGAATTTTGGAAATTATTGCATGAAATTTGTAGGTATGTGCATTTATTATTAAATATTTTCTTATGCATATTTGAGCGTTTTGCAAAAATTATAATTTTTTCGTTGAATGTACAATATTTTCACGGAATGGTAACCTTGGTAACTTTTTCATTTTTTGATTTATTATAAAAAAAATCTATAATAATTGTGATGTTCTCTGTAGGGCTAATTTCAGATATATTAAAAACAACTAATGTATATTGTGTATTGTATATGGTGACTTATTTAAAACTAAATTTTCCATATGTTTAAATGAAACCTATTTTTTTAACAAATGTGAGTTTTTTCATAAAAATAAATAAAATAACAAACTTATGTGACACCCAGATACTTGCTTTAAGCACTTAAAACATTCATATTGTTTGCCATAAGTAAATCTCTTCTCACAAATAGACCATAATTAGCTCCATCGTTTGAAAAAAATACGACGGAAAGAATTAGGCAAATCAAAGGCGTTTCAGTAGAACGCCTTGCATATAAAACTTTTTTCATACAGGGTGTCCGGAAAGGTCATGTCAAAAATGGAGGTATATACAGGGGAGGTCAAAATAGTTGTATAAAAAAAATTCCTGTCAAAGGTTGTGGAGTTAATCGTCTTCAAAGAAAGAAGTTTGGAAAAGAAATTTCAATTATAACTTCTAAGTCGTTATCATGACACTAATGAAATTCGGACAATTAAAGTAACTCATGGTAATGTTCATTTCCAAATTTTTTTCATTATGCCTGGATTATACAGTTTTTTAAACTTTTTTCTTTGAAGGCGAATAACTCCACAACGAAACCAGATAAGAATTTTTTTATGAAGTACTACGTCTATTTTGACCTCTCCTGTATACCCCTTCATTTTTGACATGACCTTTCGTACACCCTGTATATAATATATTGCTGCAGATAGTGAACAATAAAATTAAAAAGCCTTATCTAGAAACGATATTGACGCAAATATATTAATATTTTTGAAATAAAAGAAACGTAATATTTCAGAAATATAAAAATACAGGGTTCCCATTTAACAAAATATACTAATTGTTAGATGTAGGAGTCGCGTGTGCGATCTTCAATTATTTATTCTAAAATCAGTTTTTATAGTCTTTAAACTTTTAAAGGTAACTTTCTTTGCTAAACTCTAAATTAAAGAAGTTGCGGGATGTTGATTTTGGATTCACGTAGCGGTTAAATCGAAAATAATTGAGGCTTATATTTTTTTTCTTGACGTTTCTGAAAGACTAAATTTTACGTTCACGATATCGTATTTATAAAAGTGATTCCAGTAACAAAATGTAAGGGAAACCGTCTCGATGAGACATTTAAGCGAGCCGTAAAGATAAAATTTCATTATCGAAACTCACCCAAGGGTATATAGCACTCCTTTTCGAACTGGTGTCCTTTAGTGGCACTGAGCAACCCCAGAATAGCTTGGGGAAATTCAGTGATGAGGAACAGCAGTAGGACGGCCACCAGCATACTGGAAGTCCTATCGGCTTGCTTGTCCTTATCGAATTTCTTGTTGAGCATGGGTTTGATCTCCCTCGCGTTTTTCAGGGGCATGCTGTGGTCCATCAGCTTCTTCCTCCGTTTTTTGGTCTCCAACAGCACGGATATCAGTCTGCGCGACAGGTGAGTCAGTAGTATACAGGGCACTAGTTTTATCACAACACCGTATATCCAGAAACTTACGTATTTGTAGTCCTCACTAACGTAGGTGGTTATGTATATTATCCTCTTGTAGGTCGTCCCTGTGAAGTTCATTAGTTCCCGTTTGTCTATTATTTTATTGTTAATATCACACGTTTGGTTGTACGCAAGGATTTTGAGCGACATGAACAGGGGGGAACATATTATGGGGCACACTATATAAGTTAGTATTATGATGTACAGGGTTTTCCTTGTTTCGCACCAATACCTACTGTTGTGAGGGCTAGTTATGGCCATATACCGCCAAATAGCTAGAATAACCGTTAAACAGCACGATATAAAGTGAAAAACTTGGCTGAACTGAGCGTGGAAAATGGTGAACACCGCCCAGTTGTAGGAGTAGTTGTCTATGTATTTTTTTCCTTCGTCGTTGAGGTACCTGTGGAAGGTGAAAGGTATGTACTCTAGCATAACCAGCAAGTCCGCCACTGCTAAGCCCGTTAGAATTAAATTGGTAGGCCACCGCATCTCTTTGGTAGTGAGCACACATATGTTTAAGATGTTAGCAACGGAACCGAAAACACAAACTAGGAAGCTGAGAGGACCGTGGACTTGCTCGTAACTTTTCGAGAAAGTCCCCAAATTGCAGTAGGTCGTGTTGGGCATTTTTTGCGAGTTTTTTTAATCTTAGATAACCATGTCCGTGCACTTCTTTTGTTTAGTTCAATTTAGCGCGGGTCGAATCACGTTTTTAAGTGCGATGCCGTGTCTAGAGAGGCAACGGTCTGGCGTCGGCATCGTCGTCGCCTGGCAGAGGTTCGCGAGCGTGTGGAACTCAGATTTAAAGCGTCGCGACGCTACGAATTTACGCACGCATGCGTTCCCTCGCTTTTTGTTATTAATCTGAGGTAATTAGAATATGTTTAATGAAGTGACGGCGCTCTGATAAGATTGTATCGCAGTTAATTATATTTTGTTTTATTTGTCTTCAACAGGAGACAACAGTTTAATTAAATGCCTAGGTGACGATAAAAAAATCTATTTAGAGTACAATATTTTTTTAAATTGTGCGGTTTTATGTTTATCTCTTGTACTTTTGTCACTTAACTGACTTGTGCTGGTATAACAATTATAACGAAATTAGAAATACCTACTTTTCAAAATATTCAGCGTTTGGTTTCCAAAACCTCAAGATTTTTCATCGTAAGCACAATTATTTCTTTCCACAGCCAATAAATTATTTCATTTATTCAACTTACTAAATTTTAAATTCAACTACCTAAACTGGGTTGTGATATAAATAAGTTTTAATTTTAATGGCATTATATCGACTACAGATAATTATTATATACAGTCGAACTTCGGTAACACGAACCATAACTTGACACAAAGAAAGTTCGAGTTGTTATCAAGACTTCGAGTTATTGAATGGTACAGTGAGGTACCATAAGCATATGTGTATGTACCTACATACATACATATTTACATATTTGAGAAAATAATATCTCACATATTGTTACAACGGCTATAGTTATTTATTTCAATAATAGGAGCTAATACATTGAGATGAATCAAAAGTTTAAGTTTCAGTATTAGGATGAAAAATAGATTAATGTCAAAGAATGACAATGTATGAGTTAGGTAATAGATTTGAAATTAAGATGACAATTAGATGCAAAATGACAATTTAAAGTAAAATATAAATTTTGATGAAATATCAATCTAAATTAATAAAAGTGGTCATAAAATAAGGGTATATAGCAAAATAAGGATTAAGTAGTATTGCAGAAGTTAAAATAGAAATGTAAAAGTAAAAAGTAAATAAGATAAAATAAGATCCACTTCTTATTTTTGGAAGGGCGAAATGGGCGGTGACTATTAGACGCCTTCATTATAGCCATCTTTCTCTATCGCACGGATTTCTATTACTTACTTTATCGCTCTCACGTAACGGCCGATGAACCATGGGGACTTTCCGACCCTGTATAGGTAATAAGTAAATGTTAGTTTGTAGAGTAGAAATAAGTTATCGCAGGATAAATAGGGACATTTTTAAAAGAGATTATAAATTTATAATTTATTATGTCAATATAAATATTCAAACACAGATTACAACAATATTATTTAATTTTAGTTAACTACAAGTAAAACGTATTTTGTGAACCGACTACTGAGATAAGACCATTTGATGTCTATTATTTATACAGAATTGACATAGGTAATCTAATTGTCATTAAAATTATCAGACGTAAAATAGAATCCCATTTTAAATCAAGAATACTTGATAAAAAAAAAATTAAAAAAATAATTTATTAATTTACAATTTATATTTCAAAATCAAATTGAGTGATAACAAATAAAAAGCTAGCCTGGTAATAAAAATATAATTTCTAAAAATAATATTCAAAATTTATAGTATTTCCACTGACGCTCAACATTACATAGGTATTACATAGAACTACACAAATATTAAAAACTAATTGTCTTAATTGGAGCATCTCAACATATATTGTACATATACATACATATGTATTTTATTTTCTTATAAAATACTCAGTTATTTGTGATTGACGAGCGGATTTTCTGTTTTCATTTTCAAAAAAAAGCTTCAATTTCATTTAAATTATTAGTTTAATTAATTTTCGAAATATTTTAGGGGGTGATTGCCGAAGTTATTTTGTGATAAAAATTTCACATAAACGTAGGTCGAAATATGCCTCGTTTCCGAGATACAGATTGTTTAAATTTTAGTTTTTTATTTATTTTTATTAATTATTTCAGTTTTAAAAATATTGACTCGAAATTTGAAAAACGCTTTGGAGGGATAATCGAGCATTTTTGGGGTGATTCAAATATTTCTACTTGCACCAGTGGCGTTCGTGCGAGAATGCCACAACATAAAAAAAATGACACGCCACAGACTTTTTCCCGCATTGATATTTTTTTAGAAATCCGTCATCAATTCTGAATGGAATTAGTCACTTCAATTTTTTTCATAGGATGCACCGTTTTTGAGCAAAAAAAAAAATTAAACTTAATTTATTGTAAGTTGTGTATTTTTAATTTCTATTGATACATTATCCAGTAGGTTGCTGTCAGTATTTCTAAACAAAATACAACCATCAAATTTCGAGTCAATATCTTTAAAACTCTGAAAATTAAAATGTAAACACTATGTATCTTGGAAACGAAGCATATTTGTCTACGTTTATATGAACTTTTTTTCACAAAATAACTTAGGCAACCACCCCCGAAAATATTTCGCACTTTTTTCCAACCCCCTTTTGGTTGTAGTGAGAATGATGATGAACATATAACTACTTACTAAGAATGTAATCATTAACGTATTTATTGACCCCATCATAGTAGCGAATAAGACAAAATGTTGACTTTGTATTGAAGGGACACTATCCAAATCTTGTTCTGTTCGAGAGATTGAGGATTTAGTTTTATGCGCAAATATGAAAAGGGTGATAAAGGACAGTGAAGGCACGAAAATAAGCAACTGATGATCTAAAACAGTACATTTTAAATTGAAAAAAAAATCATATGAATTTTGTTCAAATCTCGTTTAAAAGTTACACAAAAATTAAACGAATAAACGAATTACTTACCAATAGACGATGTGCTCTACAAAAATTGTTCAAAGTTGTTTCCATGTGCTAATAAATATGCTTCCAAACGATGGTCAAAATTAATCCGCATAGATACGTGCAAATACGCAACATGACAAGTCTCATTTAAATTGTACTGACATTCTCCGTACATTAACATCGTATATGCTAGTTGTTGATCAGAAACATTTTATACGCCGGCTAAGTAATACTGCAACATACAACGCACATGGCAAGATGCACAGGGTTATTTCAGAAAGACCCTGTATTGATAATTATATAATAACCTCGATAGTAAAATCACAATTTCTGCATTTCACAACTTTAGGATTGTTTTTTTTTTTTTAATTTCTACAGATCTCAAAATGATCTCTTCAATGAATTCGTAGATTTTTTCTTGCTACAGTTTCATCGTTTTCCTTTTTACCATAGTTTCAAATATTTTTCTTTATTTCCTATTATTTATCTATTAATTAACATTCTGCATTTATTTTGTTTACTAAGTGGAGTGGAAATGCAGTTAATTTTTGACAAGCCTGATTTATTCTTTCTCTTAGATTTTCGGGGGTATCGACTGGCAATTTGTTTAGCTGCGCCTTATCAAATAATTCATCGGATTTAAATCAGTTTACTTTCCTTAACTAATAAATATTAATAAGTTTATGAGGTGAACCTAAATAAAAACTGAATTCAATGAAGCAAATATGAGAAAACTCCAATGTTTGTCCAGGTTAAATTATTACATTCAAAAATGGTACCACTTCTCACTACTACTACTACTACTACTACTATTACTTTATTTGTCGAATTAATTGAACCTCCTCCACTGGTGGTTAGTAATACTTATTACTGAGACATATTGCAACAAACTGTTTAATCATAAATCACACCAAGTTTTACTTAAATATCTCTACTCACTTTCAAGATATTAAAAATATTATTATTTGTATGGATATATCTTGAAAACAAAGCGTTTCTATCCCTATGTGTATATACATATACACAGAGGAACACGTCTTCAAGGCTTGTCTCCTGAAACACCCTGTATATTCTTTTATTTTTGTAAATATTAAGTATACGTATCTACTGCGTCTACTGACTTCTTTAAAACCTTATTTTCTTTTTCGTTTTGTACGTAAGATCAAATGGCGCCATTTCAATCAATTTTCTCGTCAAACTGTGTATAAATTTTCTTGCCCCAAAGTGTTTTCGTAGCCCCACACCTTATTTTCTTTCCTAATTGAAATTTTTACGCTAGATTTCCCCCTCTTGCTATTTTAAGTTCTCATCGCCGTCATATGGAAGGCCATCATTCAGGATATCGCCCTTTACGCTTTCCTAGACGGGCAAAATTCTCTGTGGGGAGGACCATCAAATAAAAAGTCGAACTTTGAGTAGGTATATCCGTTTTGTTATGTTTGATCAAAGTTGCGTTTGAAGAAAATTAATCGGTCTGATTTCTGTATCGGTACGATTTTGCCGAGGGCAGATTTATTTAAGCGGTTTTTATCAAAGGAACGTAGCTAGAAATTGGAATAGTGTAGCGTAAATATACTACTGAAAAATTACTGGGCGGGTATATAGATAGCACTTTGTGATTTTACTTGGAATATATCAGCCGTTTTTCACTGAATTTGTGTTCAATAAATCTTGAATTGGTACGTCTGGCGTTTGAAATTGCAGCAAAGTATTTTTAATCGATAAAAGATAAAAGAGATACTTTAAGCGGCAAAACGATGAGAAGTTTTTTACAATTCATATAGAGGGTGTTCTGATTTGTAAGTATATAGACCATGAAATAAATTATAAACAAATGAATTTAATTTTTTTTTCTTAAATGCATCGCTGTCCTTTATTTGATGAAAAAATCATAATTGTAATCAACAATTTCAAAAATTCTAAAAAAAAATACCACTTTTATTGCAGTAAAGTAAAATAATATTGTTCTATTGAAATATATAATTTTATATCGATCTACCTATGAGTTTATATTAGAAAGTAGTATATATTCTGAAAATATTTTCTCAAACATATTTTATCACAATGATTTTA